CACACACACACACACACACACACACACACACACACACACACACACATGCATTATTATCCTTATTAATCATGTATTTAGCTATAACTATTATTACTTTATTTTATAAATTTAACTAAGTTTAACTTAATTTTTATTCTAATATTTCATTTCTTAATCCTGTATCCTTCCTTCCATTTGTGGTATTTCTATTCTAATTGTTTTCTTGATAAGTGTTATGTGGACTTCTCTTGGCACCTTGTTGTTCCTTGCATATCTTGTATAGACTCGAAACCCTCCATATGTCCTTCCATCCGCTTGCCTTTGGTTATCACTGGTGCTTCTGCCAAAATTTCTCTCATTATTTCTGCCAAATTTTCTCCCTTTTCTTCTTTCATGTTTTGGGGTTGAGATAGAGTTCCAGTTCATTAATCTCTCCTTTCAAGATTCCACTTCTGTCATTTCCAACCACGCTCAATTTATTGTCAATATCAACAATTTTCGTATCACTTTTTTCATATTTTTCAATTTTTTGAACTCTATCTTCAAATTTCATCATCGTTTGATAAATATTCTTAACTCTTCCCTCTATTTTTTGTTTTTTGTTCTATGTTCTCCATCCTCTTTTCAATATTTTTGTACTTATTTGTACTTTTTGAATTTCAATCATAATCATTTGCAATGTTAATTCTTTTTCTTCTTCATGTTGCCCATTGTTCCAGGTTATACTGCCACTAAGACATTGAAAGCTTTTCCGTTAAGTTTCAAACAAGTTCACTATGATCTTTCAAGTCAAGATTTTCTCTTCACTCCATTCCAGCAATTGATAGTACTCCAGAAGAGCACCTGCACAAACAATCTGTACTCTTCCCACTATCTCTTTCAATAAACAAAATCAAGAGCCTTGAAGTATTAGATATGAGTCGAATGTTCAAAGGAAATAAAAAAAGGATGTTTCCAAGCTTCCAGCCTCTAGATGGCAGTGTTACTTCTTTTTCCTCTGCCTCTACCCATCTCTTTAAATTCTGAATTTAAGAAAGAAAAAAAGTGCTTAAAAGCAAACAATCTAGCTGAGCATTGTAAAAAGAAAAGAAAGAAAATCATAATCCACAAATATGAAAAAGAGAAAAAATAGAAGAATGGGGGAAAAAGAAACCAGTCCAATTTAAAAATTAAGAGGCATTTGTAAAAATTCCATCCATAAAAAAAGCAAAATTAAAAAAAGATAACACACTATGTTTAATTCAGGCTTATTTTGCTGCTTGCTCTCTTCTGTGTTCAGTTTTAATTTACTCTAAATCTTTTTGGGTGTTCTGTTCTCTAATAGTAAAAATTTGTCCCACCATTTCAACACACTCCCTCTCCTGCTTTTCTTCCATTCAGGGGCTGTCCCAACCTTCTGCAGCTTCAATCTGCTCCTCTTTCGCTGGAAAAAAGAGCTTCTCCTGGATCAATCAGGGACTTTATGATGTCTCTGAGATCAGCAGGACGTGTCCTTCTCTATCACAGTCTCTACGGGACAGTTTAGGTCCAAAAGGTACCATCCAGCAGCAGAGATATCGACAGCAATCCTGGAGCTCCAAGGTTGCATGTCGTATCATAGCAACGTCAGCCCCGCCCTTCTGCCACTATATATTTTATTAGTGTATTTGCATGGAAGATTATTGTGGATTATAAAATCTCCAGAGGCCCTTCCAGTTAAATAAATTATTAACATAATTGATGTGTCTATAAAAGCAATTGGGGGGAGTGGCGGATTTAGGCTCTACATACACCAATCAGTGCAGTATTATGCAAGAATTCCAAGTGGCCCTTTGTTTGGCCTGGAACAAAAATACTTGTAGGGAAGGACTTTTACTTCCATGATGACAATGCTCCTTGTCATCGAGCTAAGTCCATCCAGTAATGGATGAAGAAGCATGGTGTTCGAGTCCTGGAATGGCCAGCTCAAAATCCGGATTTGAACCCAATTGAAAACTTGTGGGCCAAGATTGGTTACAAAATAAGCAAGAAGCATCCGAATATGAAGCAGGAGCTGATTGAATCCATTATTGCAGCCTGGCATCATATTGTCACCAAAGAGCATGTGCAAAGGCTTATACAGTCTATGCCAAAGCAATGCCACCTGGTGATAAGCAATAAGGGCTGGCCAATTTCATATAAGTAACCATGTTTGGTTACCTAAACATTCCTTTTCAGGGCCACAAACAATAAAAATGTTAATAAAAAAGTAACTTTATAACTAATCCTTGCATTTATGATATTTACAGGTCTGCAAACAAGAGAAAGCTGAAGTAAGCAGCTGCTTTGCTTAATGACCAGATTGTCAGTCCCAGTCTTAGACACAGAATGAGAACTACCCATACAGCACAAAATCTGTAGTGTCAATCTCCTATTGCCAACTGGGTAAAAAATGAATAATGGCAAGGGTTAAAGTTAGAGAGAGTTAGATAGGAGAGAAAATTGGAAGGGGGGAAGGCAATTGTTTTCCTTCTTTCTTGCAGTTTTCTCAAAAGAATGTTACTTGTTATCAATAATTATTAAAGCCTAAAATAATTATTCATTACAAGGAAAAATGAGCAATAGGGACTTCCAATAAAATTTGCAGGATATAACGGGATAGGTGCTTCCTTTTAAGAAGCTATCATCACACTCCTGATTATTTTTCCACTTCTTCTGAATATACTATGCTTACTGAATGAACTCAGTCATTGAAATAATGCATGTATTCTTCATTTCTTATTTATATCTTGTAAAGACAATTTTTTGATATTTCTATAAACTTCAAGTCTTTCCTTCCATTCTGCTATTTTCTTTTATGTGAGTGAAATGTTATTGTTATTTACTGTTAAAAGCAGTTTTTTTATTTACAAATATTTCTGTAGGTGATACACTTTGATACGGTTTAAAGTACTATTTTGTATGTGTTACAATTGTTTTAATATTTGCTTCACCAGCTTTTCTAGTGTAAATATATCCTTATTAACTTCTTCTAAAACTCTTGCTTTACTTCCTTCCTTCCAGACAGAAGACTTAGCTTCAGACTCTAGTGTATTCAAGAGTAAACACTTTAAGAAAACCAAATCTTGTAGTACCTGCAATCAAATAAGGAATTCCAATGGTATTTCATGCAGAGGTAAGCCTTAGTGTCTTGCATTTATATTGTTTTTTTAATTCTAATTATTTATTTATTAAATTTGTTTGTTTCCCATCTCACTGCAAGATAAACTGTGGGTGGCTAACAGCATCAAAATAAAGCATCAAAATAAACATGCTATAAAAATACAGGCTATAACTCAAAAATGGAGAGGAAGAGAGTAGAATGTAGTGTGGGGGGGAGGAAGAGGGAGCTGCTATTATTCAATCAACCACCTCAGTTGTGGGTTTCAAAATTTTTTGGAACCTACTCTGTGGGTGTGGCCTCCTTTGTGGGAGTGGCTTGCTGGCTATGTGACCAGGTGGGAGTGGCTTGCTGGCTATGTGACCGGGTGGGAGTGGCTTGCCGGCNGGGTGAGAGGGGTGATCCCATGGGTGCTCCTTCTATCTGTTTGTATCTTTGTCCATTATGGATGAAGTATGTGTTGGTTAGGCAGTGGTTAGTCAGGTCCAGGAAGTGTTTAGGGGGGTTGTGTTTGTTCGGAAAGCTGTCAAGTCTTCTTTTATAGGCACTTGGGTGAAGAAGGATATGACATCGAAGCTCACGAGTAGGTCTCTGGGTTGTAGGTTTTGTTTCTTTATTGTTTCTATGAAGTGGAGTGAGTTTTGTACATGTGAGGTAATGGATTCTGTGTAGGGTTGAAGTTGTTTGGCGAAGAATTTAGCAAGATTCTGTAGAGGTGAGCCTATGGAGCTGACAATGGGTCTGAGTGGTGTTTCTTCTTTGTGTGTGTGTGTGTGTGTATGTATGTATGTATGTATGTATGTATGTATGTATGTATGTATGTCGGTCGGTCTTTGGTTATTCATCTTTTCTCCCGCGTAAAATTGGAAGTGTCTTGGCGATGTTTCGACGAAGTCTCATTCGTCATCTTCAGGCTTCTTGCTTCCAGGAGCAATTAAGCAAGAAGCCTTGTTGTTCCTTGCATATTCCTGGAAGCAAGAAGCCTGAAGATGATGAATGAGACTTCGTTGAAACGTCGCCAAGACACTTCCAATTTTACGCGGGAGAAAACCCGAATAACCAAAGACCTACATACTAACCCCCGCGAAAACCTCAGAATACACACACACACACACACACACACACACACACAGAGAGAGAGAGGTGTGTGTGTATGCGCGCGTGCGTGCGTATGTTTTTTATTTTTAGACAAAAAAACATAAAACATACAGACATAAACACACACAAATAAAAATCCTTCTCCAATTACTTACAGTGTGTTGATTGGTTACAAAACATTTGTGTTTTCTCACAGTCTTCACTTGCAATTTACATAAAAACTCATATCATCATTCTAATATATATGTATACAATTGTTATGGTTATTAGACATTCATTTGACTATAGCTATTATTACATCCTTTTTATATAAATTATTCTAAATTTAAGAGAAATTTATATTATGGCATTTGCATCATCTTGAATTCATCCAATAGTATTATATCTTTATATTCTATTCTATATAGAATTATTTATCTTTTATAACAAAGCTTTTAAGCATCCTCTCCATAGTCCTCACTTGCAATTTATATAAAATTTCATATTATCAATCTAGTGTGTGTGTGTGTGTGTGTGTGTGTGTGTGTGTGTGTATGCATATGTGTGTGTGTGTGTGTGTGTGTGTGTGTATGTATGTATGTATGTATGTATGTATATATATAAAGTC